GTCTACAGGGAGTTGGAGGTCCGTGATCTGTGGGCTTGTTAGCTCATGCAGATGTAGCTTCGTAAAAAATGTTGTTTGGATGCCAGCACACGCTCCACAACCATCACTTCAACTGTTTCTTTCTTCCCTTAGGCTTGCTGTCAAACACATTTTTGGTACCACTATGAAGCCATGAACTTAAACATATTTGAGTGCTTCACTGTTTTGCAGTTATCCTTATTGATGCTCAAATTGTCCTGTATTTGACCTTTGGGAGCCCCTCAATCAAGTTGGCTCCTAAATCAAAGCTTTTGAGAAGCTCACTTAAGTGAGGAGCTGAAGAATCCCTTCTTGTTGGAGCCAAGTTAAGAATACTCATACACGCTAGCAGTGTGTTTCAGAGCTGACACAAGAAGGGAACGTGAGCTTCTGGAGCCAGGTAACTTGGGAACTAGAAGTTATTACGGTTCTACTTTCCTGCCACATAGTTAAATACGGTTTCAGAACTGGGAGGGAAAAATAGCTTTACCTTCAAACGTATGTATTATCTTAACGAATACATTACATTTTGTTTTGATGATAATGAAATGTAAATATTGTTTGAAAAGCTGATTTGAAAAATAAATTAGTGCTCTAATTATATTGTTTAAAAACTGTCTATTTTGTTATACTCTAGTGTGATAAATTTCTTATCATTTACAACTTGTCATTCCATCCCCTGTGTGATAGTACGCATCTCCCCTTGCCATGTGACTTGTGGTGTGCCCAAACACTGAACACTCTTCTCCACAACAGCCACCAAAAAGAAAAGATAACTATTGCCACGGAGCTGATCTCAACTCTCAGGGACCCCATGTGTTACAGAGCAGAACTGTTTCATACGGTTTTCTTGGCTATAATCTTTATGGAAGCAGATCGCCAGGTCTTTCTTCCACAGCACCACTGAGTGGGTTTGAATCGCCAACCTTTAGCCTAGCAGTTGAGCACAACCCTTTTGCACCAGCCGGGGACCAGAATGGGAGCACAGTGACATCATGTGCCTCATTCAATCAGAAGCTTTCCAAGTCGATAGCTGAGCCTCATGCTCTTCCCTGCTCAGCCACTGGGAAGGCTCTTTTCAGATCACAGCTCCTCAGCTCAGGTGCCTGAGTACAGAGCCAGGGACAGAGCAACAGTACAGCCACGCGTAACGGGAGGAAAGTGTCCACATTCACTGTTATAAGGCCCTGAGTTGGGGGGTTGTTAGTTACATAGCACAAAAGCTGACTAGTAGATATGGTATATAGTGACCTTATAAATAAAATGCGGAAAAGTTATCTATTTGCTTTTTCATCATGAAATTCAATACAAGCAACACATCTGAGGATCTACCATGTGTCAGACTGGGATGGGTCCGTAAAGATGGACATGTTAACGCCCGTGCCCTTCAGAAGCTCCCGGTCCCAGAACTGCTGACCGGGGTGGGGGAGAGTGGTGTAGCCATAAGATACAACGCACTGTGTGGAGCACAGGAATAAAGCTCTATGGGAAATTTTTTAGAGCCCAAAGGAGAGGATATTTCTGCACCACAGTAATAATAGCTACAGCGGGCTCTTTTTGCAGCCAAAGAAACTGCCATTCAAAAGTTGCCAACTGTCTACACTTCTAAAAATTAAAACCTCAAGTCTCCTTTATTCTGGGGAGAACATTTGAGTGGTCTGTTTGAATTAAGCAGATGAAGGTAAGGAAAGTCCATTATTCCAAGCATTGGGTGTCATAAGACGGTTTTTGATGGAGGAGGGCTCACGTGGCCCACCCCACCCCACCTTCTTTGATCTGGGATGCTCGAAATAGCTGGGGACGTTTGCAGAATTTTACAAAGAGGCCCTGCAGCTTCCTGGGAGTAAGCCAACAGGACTCTATCCTTTCCCTTTTGCTTTTAATCATTCTTAAAACTTCCCTCACAAATTAAAATGGCCTCAGATGTGATAAGCCAGCAAGAAAGACCACCAAGGATCACCAAGGGGAACCTCACCATGAAAGAAGAATCTAGGCTGTGACCTGAACTCAGCAAGGTGGCCCACGAATTTAGGTGAGAATAGTTCTGGGTGAGGTGAGAGCTTGCGGTCAGAAATTTCTTCAGATGTTGCCAAGTGACCACCATGTTTGTATCTGTAGGAAAGAGATAGAGAGAGAGAACAACAGGTAGTGCAACGAAAGGCCTGTCGCTTGGGCAGGTCTGGCCTGGGGGGCATGGTGAGATCCCAGGCTACTTCCTCCCCTGACTTGAGAAGCTCTGCCAGATCACAGCCTAGCAAGCAAAGGTAAGGCATTGATTAATGTCTTATTTTGTCACTATCCCTATACGACCTCCAAATGTAATCAGTTCACAATATGAAATCGTTTTATTTCTCTCCAATAATTATTTCACCAGGGCCTAAGGGTTGACTGGATTCCAGAGGGCTG